AGGCATTTTACGCGTGCGCGTAAGAACTTGACTACTGCGCATATGCGTGTGCGCAAGTGCAGAATATGTTTTCACCTGCACATTTAATGTATAACGGACGGTAAGCTAAAATTATCTAATTATCTATTTCAGTTAATGTTAATGATTGCGTTGTTCCTTAATCTTCGAATTGGATCCCACTTATTATTTTTTGCAGACTGTAAGAGCAATTTTATAAAAGTAAACTTGAACTTTCGATTATGTGAAATAGAATTTCCGATGCTGGAACTTCCAAAGGATCTACAAAACGAAAGTATGTTTCGATGTCCAACAAACAAAAAGTGGAATTGCTGTAAAAAATGGATGAAGACATGAAGAATGTGACAGAGAGGTTAGTGAAAACGAAAAAAATTTCGATTGACAAGTTAGTCGATATTCTCGGCACAGCAATTAACAGAACTTGAACAGCGGAACTTTGTAACTGAACAAGAAATTATGTCTGTTTATAGAATTAAAGAGAAAGTATTATCACATAAAACGAAGCAACTTAAACAATTTACATTGAAAGAAATGTTTAATAAAGTAAACAAATAAATATTAAGCTTTTTTTTTTTTTTTTTTTGGTAAATTTTGATACCCTTTAGATCATAATTATTCTTTATTTCACAAATTATGGTTTCATATTTTTAATTTTAGAATTTCTGCATGCCATCTTACAAGATTTAAACTGATGATCTATAATCCGGAATCGCCGAAGTCCCGACGAGTCCGGATTAACGACTTTTGACTGTATAGTTATCTATTATCAACGAGAATGCATTGACCAGATTATCTGTTGTAATGTTCCTTTTTGTGTTGCCTGTTGGCCTTTTCACACCTTTGAAAACACAAATAGATGGTAACCTTCCAGGAATACCACCTTCGTCAAATTTTAACCACACAGTAGCATCAGCAGCTGTTTCAGTCTCCTAAAAGGTGTTTTCAGTTTCTTCATCACAGTCTGAACTACTTAGCACCCTACACCTTTTCCTGGGCACATTGATGACACTTTCATTTTCATCGTTGGTGATCGCCTCTTCATCACTATCTGTAGCATCAGACGTCTCACTTTGAATATAATCCGATTTCTCTTCAGATGATAGTTCCCAATTTGTTGCATCTGATTCTATATCGGAACACTCTTCACCTATGTTTCTTAGGTTTTCAGATAACTCTTTTCTATTCGACATTTCTTTCATGAATTTAGGGCACAAAAGAAATCAACTAAACAACGTGTTAGAACAACTCTCAGCGCATAAAGCAGGCCTGTCCAAAGTTGACATGGGTGCAGCTCGTGGTTCTCCCACTCTGTCAAAACGTATCGATTACAGTATGGGATCCTCCTTTCCCCCTGAACTATGTTATAGTGCATTCAATGGGAACGAGGCGTGTCGGCAGGCCTGGCATAAAGATTCGAATAACAAGTACTACTTTAGTTATTGAACAACTGCAACTTATCTTGTATATGCTCAAATCAACAATTTATCATGAACTTGTATCATGTGACGGTAATAAAAAAAAGTATAACTGTTATTCCAATCCTGGTTATATAAGAAATTTCCGAGCTGGTCACCGAACTGGTCATATAAGAAATTTACTCAATTCATTAATAAAAGTCATTTGATTATTTAAAATTTTCCAAGTAGCCAAAATCACTGCTTTCGGGCAATACAGGTATAACAGTACAAATACAGGTATAAAAGTACAATACAGTACAAATTCCGAAATCCGGACATCCATTATCCAGAATAATCTAAAATCCGGACCTCAAAACCACCAACAATGTTTTCTCATAGGCTTTACGCATGTGCATTTAATTCCCCCCTCCGCGCATAATAAAACATCTGGAGAGTCCTAATTTTTAATTTCACTTTGAGACTAAATAAAATACCTTGTTGTTGAAGAAACAATTATTGTATCTTAAATTTGTCCAGTCAGTAATTTGACTCCATTGCAGCATATGTGCTTGGCATACATCTCAAACCCAAACATTCCACACAGATACATTGTTGATCTGACGTCAACCCGGCAAATCATTATTTATTATACATTTTCATCACCGCATGTTTATCAAAACCTGACAAATTGAGTGATGACTCATGTAGCGATGCCTAAACAATTTTTTTATGTTAATAATTGTATAATAAAGGAGTAGGTAACCTTTTATGTTAACATTAGGCCTGGCAATGACTACAAATTTAAGTTAAATGCACTAAAAAATGTTGACGAGGAAAAATTTACCAAAACTTTCTTTCCACATGCTAAAAATAGATTTTGTTGATGATACTCATAGACTCAAAGATTACATTTAGGGCTACTTGACTTAAGAATAACTGATTTGTTATTCACATAAACCCAGAACCAGCGCCAGGGCTCATGTGGCCGCATCGAGTCAGAAAATTTAGGACCCACAGAGACTGCATCAGACGATAAGATATCTAGTGCCGGCCCTCAATAAGGCTTAAGTATATGTGGGAATTTATTTATTCAGAACTCTGGTAAGCCTTAAGCATATGCAAGAAATAGACATAAATATAATAAATAACTAACAATACAGGCTTAATTGTCTCAGAGTGCAATAGAAGCAAGATAAAATTTAACGGAATAACTTGCCGTTAGTTGCCAAGCTCATGACGCATAGACAAATATGTATAGTGAAGGATAGCTAAATTTGATGATGATTGCCGCTAATTTTAAAGGTTTTCAGATATCGCAAAACAAAGGTGAATTTTTTCCAATTAATGGATTTTATAAAGAAATGTGGAGAAGAAGTAATAAATGAAGATTATATAAAAGAAGTTTTTCATTGTGATGACAATGCTGCTCAATCATCAATTAATTAATGAATGGCGAAATCTGTAGTATGGTTCTAAATCCAGAAAAAACCACTACCAATAGTTAAGAAAGTGAGAGAGCAGTTACTGAAAATGAGAAAATTTCAATCGACAAGTTAGTCAGAATTCTCAAAATAGCAGTTACAGGACTTCAACAATGTAACTAAACAAGAGATTATTATGTCTGTCTACAGAATTAAAGAGAAAGTATTAGCACAAAAAACGAAGTAACTTGCATTGAAAGAAATGTTTAATAAGGTAAACAAATAAATATTAAGTTGTAACTAAACAAGATACTCTTTAGATCATAAATACTTCATTATTTCATAAATCACGATTTCATATTTTTTATTTTATAATTTCTACATGCCATCTTACTAGATTTAAACTGATGATCTATTATTCAGAAAAATCCCAACTTCAGATTTCGGACTTTGTACTATTTATACCGATGAAGGAGGGGGGAGGCAACTACAATGATTAATAAACGCATTTATATGTTGTACAAAATTATAAGTAGCTGTGTCATTATATACATAATTCTTTTTCTAATCAAAATTGAAAAGCAGTCATAATGACTTCCTTAGGCAATCTAGTCTTAAATATTTGCCTGTAAGGTAAAACAAAGCATATATATGAAATGTGCCAACAAATCCAAGCGTTTTTGAAAATAAACATTTTTCAAAACATAGCTCTCTTGCTCGGATGTATCTACACTTCCTGGAGCTATCAAAAATGCTGAATGAGCAAAAATATAAAAAGAAAACATTCAATGAATAAGTAGATGTTTTGGATTTTTTAATAAAAGAATATACTGAAAGATTTTCAGATTTTGACGAGCACACTTCTGTTATGATTGAACCACGTTTAGTAGATATATCCAAAGCTCCTAGGGAATTACAAACACAGTTATTTGAGTTGCAGGAAGATAATATCATCAATTTTTTTTATGCTAAAAATGATCCCATAGAAATCTCGGAAAATGCTGTTCAATATCCATGCCTAGGAGACCATGCATGATGTTTACTTTCCTGCTTTGGAAATACTTGCTGCTACGAGTCAACATTTTTTCTTATAACAAAAATTAAAACTAGGTTAAGAATGCAAATTACAGAAGCTCATTTAGAGGATCTACTAAGGCTGCATGTTACAAAGCTTGATCCAAATATTCATTTACTTTCAGGAAGAAATAAATGCAAATATCCAATAAATTAAATTTTCCATTGGATTTTAACATTTTACATACTTTTGCTATGTTGTTTTTTTATATCTCAATATTATTACTTTTCTACAGTTTTTCTTTATAATGTTATAAATTTATTGAAAAATACTTCTACTTTATTTTTATTACTCGGAACAGCATTTAAATATATGTAGCTATTTATTAAAAAATATTAAAGATTAATGTTATAATAAGTTATTAGCCTTATGTGAATACAAAAATATTTTATGTTATAAATTTTTATTTTAATAAATGACTTAATGTTTTTTAACAAATAACTTAATGTTTCAATTTTTATATAATGCAACAAAGTGATAAAACTATACAAAAACTATAATAATTCCGCAAAAGGTTTATAGGTACATCAACAAATTTATAGGTATATCAACTTCAGCAGCCTCCTGTATCACTGCTTAATTTAAATGTGGCCTCTGATGGTAAAAGCTATATGTGGCTGTAACCATACCTAGTCCTCATGTGACTTCCCATAATTTTGAGAAGTGGTAAATACTAGAGATTCCTGAGTCAAAGAAAAACTGTGACCAGAGAGGGCATCAGTTTCTCAGCTATTTAGCTTGGAATGAGTTTTTAGAACTAAGATCTCCGTAGGAGCTTCATCTTAACTGTGCTTTGTGATGTTTAGTGTTTAATGTTCTTAGTACTTTGAAGTGTAACTACTGACTGCACTCTGTGATCAGCTATATGAGTATTTTTGTTCAAAGTTCCAGAACTGTATAGTGTTCCTTTTTGTAAAATAAATTTCATCAAACTACAATCAGTTCTGTGTGCAATATATTACAAACCTGTACACATGCAACAATATCAATAAATACTTCGGTAACTTAAATAAATTCTGGCTATTTTACAATTATTTTCATAGCAACAAAATATCTTGTTTTAACTTACAGATCACATTTTAATGTTACCTGCAAAAATTTCAGACGTCCAGTCGAACCTATACTTTTATATACAACATAGTGTTGAATAGGTCTCACTTGAGTTTCCAAGATAACAGGTTTCTCCACTTGAGGAACATGAGCTTTATATAGGATCAGCAATCCCTAGATTACATTTTCAGTTAATACAAGCATAAAACAGAAGGGAAGGAAATCCACAACAAGTATTTTTAGAATACTTTTATTAGGAAAACAACAATAAAATTATAAAATTGTTTAAGGCATATTAGCATTAAAAACAAATAAAGTTACTTGTAAACTTTTTAAATCCAAATTGTTCATGCAATTGATTTATTTACTAATCTATCTATCTGAAATATTTTAAAAAATAACTATTATAACTACCTCTTTATTAACATTAGAAAGACACTCACTTATGTAAATAAGGTTATCAAAACTGTTTTCATTAACAGCCCATTATTCCAGTAGTAGGCATACAGATTTTGTGTGAAAAGAAACCACCACACCTTTGAAATTAGCAGCAACATTTATAATTTTAATCATGCTATTTAATCATAAACTAATCATTTTTATGAGAAAAATCTGGCAAAATTAAGATAAATATTTCATAAAGAATGCCATCTAAAACTGCAATGTTAATTAATTAGCGCATCATCAGAATGGAACAATATACTACAGTAAAATTGTGTTACAAAACTTATAAATGTTTTGGTGGAATAGCTACATGTATTTCTCCAAAGTTTTATGAAAATGGCAATGATTAACTATTGCATGCACAAGTTTTCATATTTCACGTAAACATATTTCACAAGAAGGGAATAAGCACTAATTGATAATCAATAAAGCTGCTCAAAAACTGTGAACTACAAACTAATATAAAAAAGTATGTAAAATACTTTTCTATTAGTTCATAAGTAATGCATTGTTTAGTTTGACACATATGGGTTGATAGAAGACGTCTCAGTTGTATATGTCAAACTAATTGCTTGTTTAAGAATTTGGTAGATCCAAATATTCAATTCATACCATTTTGACCTAAAATTTAATGAAGACTAACAAACAGTTTGTTTCCTAAAAGTTAACAGAAGAAAAAGAGATGTTTTGAATATTGAAAAGATATTATCAAGCCTACAAAAGAGCATTCAGATTCACAGATTCTGTCATTACTGATGAAATTACATTAAGTTTCAAGTAACCTAGAAATTAAGGGTCAAGATGCATTATAAAAGTTTCAAGAGTTGGATAGAAACAGAAAGAGACTTGAAATGTTAATGTGTTTTCCATTTCAAGAAGCACCATTCATTGAAATTTCATCCCAGAATATGAAACTGTCCCCAGGCAATAATTCAGAGGTGCTACAGAGTGTTTGGGACAAAAAATGATTAGAATTAGACCAGAATACAGCAAGGGAGGAAAAAGTTGGATTTTAAAGCAATTAATAAAGGAAACAGGAATATATGTGTAAATTTGCACGGCAATAGTTTCATTAAAATAAAACCTTCCTTCTTCAGCTGTATATGCAATAACTATGGAAAAGAACCACGTCTATGTGAAAGCAATAAAAAAATTTAAAAATATTTTAGCTAAATGATAAAAAATGAAGCCACTGGTCCCTGAAAGAAAAATAACTAAGAAATGAATTCTTGAAAAGCTGAAGAAAGGGCCTTAGAACTGCGATCACTAGCCAGAATGAAAATAATTTTATGAATGTAAAATGCCTCTAGGAAATCTAATTCCCTTACAAATGTTTTTTTGGGAGGGGAGGGAGGATGCCAGAAATGATGATAAATGACAAATTTATGACTTTTCCCCAAAACTAAGAAAAAAAAAAATTAATTTCTTTTAGTTTGAAATATCATGACTTCCCAAGTTTCACTAATGTATATTAAACCATACTAGCAAGAAATACAACATGAAAGGAGTTTTACACATGGAAACAAATGACAGTAAATAAATAAGTACAGTACAAAGTCTTTAATCTGGACTCGTCAGGACTTCGGCGATTCCGGATTAGGGATTTTTCTGGATTATAGATCATCAATTTAAATCTGGTAAGATGGCATGCAGAAATTATAAAATTAAAAATATGAAACCGTAATTTATGAAATAAAGAGAAGTTGTTTAAGTTGCTTCATTTTTTGTGCTAATACTTTCTCTTTAATTCTATAAAAAGGCAATTTCTTGTTCAGTTACAAAATTCCACTGTTCAAGTCGTGTAATTGCTGTGCCGAGAATACCGCCACACTTGTCAATCGAATTTTTTTTTTTTTGTTTTCATTAACCTCTCTGTCACTTTCTTCATGCCTTTAACCATTTTTTGCAGCAATTCCACTTTTTGTTTGATGGACATCGAAACATGCTTTCGCTTTGTAGATCCTTTGGCAGCTCCAGAATCAGAAACTCTTTTTGACATAATCGAAAGTTCAAGCTTACTTTTTATAAAATTGCTCTAACAATCTGCGAAAAATAATAAGCCGGATCCAATTAGAAGATTAAGGAACAATGCAATCTGCAACATTAACTGAAATAGATAATTAGATAATTTTAGCCTGGCTTATACCATCCATTATACATTTAACGTACATGCGTAACGTATTATGTGCATGTGTAAACGCATATGCGCATGCGTACAAAGTTTGTAGCTTTGAGGTCCGGATTATAGATCATTCTGGATTATGGACATCTGGATTAAAGACTTTGTACTGTATATAAATAATCTAATGAATGTGAAGCAACAGAGGTATATTTCCCATAACAAGATCATTTGCTCCATTAAATGAGAAGTTTTATTCACATCAGAACAACTCAGATGAAGAAAATAAGTCATTAGTTTTAAACAACTTTTGTCTCTTCCTTAAATACTAACCTGTTAAAGGTTCTATAGAATAAATGAAAATACAGCAGTCTAGCTTATTCGACACAAATAGAAAGGTAGAACATCAGATAAGAGAAAATGTCAAATAATATAGAGGCGTTAAGAAAAGCCGATAAACATCAAAGTATGCTACAATTTTACATATTATGAGCCATTCAACTTTTACAACAAAGTGTGGGAAATTATGCAGAAAAAAAAAAGAGCTTACAGTCACAGAACTGTCTAAAGTTAAATACAGTACATGCAATACTTCAAAAATTCAATCCTGTGATGGCTGTAAGATATTTTTGTTTGCAGTCTGCTCTCTTACAATCCTGTGATGGCTGTAAGATATTTTTGTTTGCAGTCTGCTCTCTTACAATCCTGTGATGGCTGTAAGATATTTTTGTTTGCAGTCTGCTCTCTTACAATCCTGTGATGGCTGTAAGATATTTTTGATTGCAGTCTGCTCTCTTAACAAAAGCCATTTCTTCACTCCAAGTCTCACCATCTTTGCAAGCATCATTAACCCCTTAACTGCCGCGGGCGTATATATACGCCTGTTAACTGCCCCAGGCGTATATATACGTCCTTCCAAACTGCTATCATTTGCTTTGCGCTGCTACACCTAAAATTATTCGCAAAGTTAACGCATCGGCTGCGCATCTGGGGCAGTTAACGCATCGGCTGAGCAAGGCGTATATATACGCCCGCGGCAGTTAAGGGGTTAATGTCAATTCCTGTATCCTCTTCTTGTAGCTCAATATATTTAATTCCAGTTTCTAAAGCCTTAACTCTGCTGTTAGAAATTTTGCAAGGCTCACCAGCTGCTGCTTGATTTTGGTCTTCGATTTTGTTTTCATTGCAACCAATACAATTTACAATTTCTACATCAGTTATTTCATAGTGATCATCATCCTTCATCTAATTTTTGATTTTTTGTAAAGATTCATCTTCACATCCAGGAATATAACGCACTAAAAGTAGAATGTTTTTTGAGTTTTATCTGTTTTCCCTTTTCATTCTTTTATCATCGCTTACCAGCTTTTTCCATGTGTCTTCCAAGACAGTTGACTTAGATATGTAACTAAGAGGCTTACTTCATATAAAGCTTTTTATTTTATTTATTTATTTTATGTGTTTTCATTATAAAGCTGAAATTTTTTCTTCAAAATTTGGTTCTAAAATATTATGCTGATAGTGCAGTGAATTAATTTTAGCCTTGAGTGTAACCATAATTTCCATTTGTCAGCCACTAGGTATTTTTCATATAATTTGCTTTTCTTCTTACAATATGCTTTAGGAAAAGCAAATGAACGTCAGGTTTAAACACTTTTTTAAAATTTCAGATCTTTATGAATGATGTTACTTTCAGTGTCAAAAGATAATACCACTTCCAATGCAATGGATCTCTAATACAGTGGATTCCCCCCCCCCAGAATCAGAGACTTCACTTTCTTGATACCCATATTTGAATAGTCTTAGGATGTAGTTTAGTGGCCATGTTTCCATTTTTACTTTCGGCTAAATCCCTTTTTTCCTTTCAAATTTAATATATTAAAAATACCTCTCTTTAAAATCAATAATCCTGAAATTTACACCGCTTTACAATTTGTAGATACAAATATTTTTCCTTGAAAACTGCATTTATGTAAATTTCAAAACATCTAACAATTTTAGGAACCATTTCTAAAATAAATTTTTTATTCTGCATTCCAACTGAAACAAAACAGTACCAGAAGATTCTACTGAAAATGCCAAATCTTTATCTCAAATTGCTACTACGAAAATTTCAACAGAAAATTGTTTCATTCTGTACAATCCATTTTCTGTATTATTCAGTTTTATTCCGTGATTAATATATATGCAAGTTAGGAAAACAAAAGCCTCAAAAGCAGAAGTTAAATAATATTTTTTACTACTAATTTAAACATAAGTAGGCATGCAAATTAATGGCTTTCTATACAGATGCCTTTCCCTAATTTTATATATTAAAAAACTTTAACAGTTTTTAAAGTGGCTACAGAATTTAAAATGTATTTCCATAAAATAATTACGTTAACAGTTTTATGCGAAGATAACTATAATATTTCATTAGATATATTCTTATATAACTACATATTATTTAACCTGCTCACCAAAGGACAGAGAAACAAAAAATAGCACTTCAAAGTTTTTTAAAAAATAATAATAAAAAAAATTACCTTAAAAACATCATTTACATTGTATAATGTAGCTTCAACAACATGAAGGAATCTCATTTTACAGTTTTTCTGGGCAGCCTGCAGCTGCTTTAAGCCCAGTCTAGCAAAACTTTCATACATACTGATGCGTGAATCATCAGCTGATGGAGATTTATCTTCAACATGATATTCATTTTGCCAATAACTATCCAAGTTTGCAATACCTAACACATTGTGGAAAATTATTAATACAAATAAATATTAACATAAATGAGTATATAAATGTATAAATATTTAAAGCTAATAGCTTTATTAATTTGTATTTTTTTTTTATTTATATATTTTAAAACTACCAACTCAATAACAATTTTTTAACAATTTTTAAATAATACCTTTCACAGATTATATGATAAATAAATATTTAGTAACCTTTTACATCTATGCTTAACTCCCAATTATGAAAATTTATACACGAGGGTATATGGATAACCGGTAAAAATGGACAATAGCCCTGCCTACTGAATGCTTCAAAGATTCTAAAATAAAGATTATATATATATATATATATATATAATCTTTATTTTAAAAAGCTTACAGAAGAAAGCCCTACAGTCAAGATTGTCTACACGATAAATCCTCCATATGAAAGAAAATGCATTCTTGGTTTGGAAGGAAAACCAGTAATTTATGATTTATTATTGATATTGGTAAGAGAATGTTAAAAAGATGCAAATGATGACAGAAAAAACTTTTTTCACGATGATTTTAGAAATGTGCACTCATGAAATAAAAAGAAACTTGTACACAACAAAAAGAAATGTTGCGATTCGCAACTGTAGGATTACAACTTAAATCTATGACATCAAAAAAGGGACAGTTATTTTTTTGGATTGCTAGAAAGCACACAATATTTAAGACTATGAAAAATCTGGCTGTTTATATTCACTGTAAAGTGGGACCATAAGTATGATTTTGTGAACCCACAAAAAGGCATCCACCTTGAATGTTGACACAACAAAATGACAAAATTATAAAAGCGTTTAGGTACTGTCTAAAATTCATTTCAAATCTCATGTATTAAATCTTATAGAAAATACAGTAAACCCTCATTAACTGTTTACAGAATACAGGTACATGATACTACAATATATTATGTATGTCACCATAGAAAACACTACAGTACTACACTAATTACTGTACAAAAACTTGAAAAATTACACTTCGCTGACCATCAACTTCATGGCCAACAGAACTCAAGGCTTTCAAAAAACTAACAGTCTATTCATAGGTTGCAACAAAACATTTTACATGGTCCAAGGGGTGTAATATTTTCTAGTGGGTGGGTGGAATGATACTGTCCTTCCCACTTTCTTTTGATTGCATTTTCTGCACTCCAGCAACTACATTTGTTTCAACTGCTTGCACATCAGATTCCACAGAAGCACACACAGCAACATCATCATCTGCATTAACAAACTCCTTAAAACTTATCGATGATGCAATGATTGCAATTGTTGAGTAACATTACTCCTGCTAGCTATGTTTCAAAAACTACTTTAAATTTTAGTCTTATTTTTTAATGTATTTTGTGGGTTTTCAGTTAAGTGTGACAGAAAATTTCTGAACACAGTCTTAATATAGAGACAACAGAGAAAAAATATCAAAAACTTTGAAAGTCCATGTTAAGACCAAAATTTAGTTCATGTTAACAAAGTGTTTGTCTTAAGAGAGTTCATATTAAGGGAATTTATTGTAAATACAAATAGTGAACAAAAATAAATGTTTTCAGTAATATTTTTAGAGCAATAGCTACCCACTTCCAATCTGAAATTGAAAAATAGTACCATTGCCATATAAAGTCAAATAACGTCCTTAGCCATAATTAGGCAAAAGATATTAGTAAATGCATATGAAGCAAGAGTACGTAAATAATATCCAAGTTATATATACTTTTTTATTTAATTACTTTATATATATATATATAAACAAACATTTTGCGTGCATGCGTACATACATATGTGTGTGCATTTATATACACAATAAACCAAGAATATATATGAAATATATATGTAAAAATATATAACTATGAATTATACATTAAATTAGCAATAGTCCCTTAATTCTTCTTTTTAATTTGGGCATTCTGTCTCTATATTCTAATGTCAATAACAGGCTTTTTCGACACTGTGTTATATAATTCCACATTATGTCATTTTAAACTTCTAATGAAGAAGATGTGAACAGTTCTTAGCCAATCAGATAAAAGAAACATTTTATTATACGAGGCATATTTGGAAACTAAGCACCGTTTTGGAAAAAAAAAAGTAAAACAATTTTTTTGAACCCAATTTTATTTTTACATGAAAATACATGTCTTAAACTATTTTTCAACATAGTTTCCGCCAATGATCAAACACTTGTCATAGCGGGTGACCAGTTTTTGTATCCCATCGTCAAAGATACTTTCCGCCAGTTTGATAACCACGACTCCACAGCGTTTTTCATGTCATTATCAGATCCAAAGCACTTGCCACCAAGTTTGCGATAATTCAAGCGGTCAGACACAATTTCGAACAAAACAGTACGTGAAATTTGTGGAAATGCCTCTGAAAGAGTTGTCATTGTGAAGCATCTGTTCTCATGAATTGCTTCATCAACTTTCCTTACCAAATCATCGGTGACAACAGAAGGCCGACCACTCCGAGCCTCGGCGTGAAACATTCTTACCCACTTTCTCACCATTCCATCACTTATCGCGTATTCACCGTAAACTTCTGTCACTTGACGATAAATTGCGGCCGGTTTAACTCGCGTTCAAAAATTTAATCACGGCACGAATCTCACAGTCAGCAGGAGAACTAATTGTCTTAAACATTTTGAATGTGCACAGCAAACTGAAAACACAACATAGAGCAACCAAAATGGTGACAATTGAAAGTCAGTGAACAAGAAAAAGAAAGACTAGTGCGCATGCGCGGGACGCCTACCACAGCGCTGCTACGGTGCTAGAATGAAACGGTACTTAGTTTCCGAACACGCTACGTAAATACCACTGCAATCCAGCTATGCACTCTTTTTCTGTGCTTGCTCACTGCTTATAAAGTCACTGGAAAAAACAGAAGTAGCCCTTCCTATTAATAATAACAAAGATATTAAAAAAACCTACTCAAAATTATTAAAAATTGTAAGAGTTTTGAGAACAATGTCCAATTCAACTGTGTTAATACATCAGTCTATACTGCCAAAATGGTTTAGGCGTAGCCTATCACGTTTTATGTTAAAATAATTGTTAACCCATTAACATATGAAATATGCTGCCCAACTACGATAGTAATTAACGACACTAACTGCAATATTGAAGGTGCTGTGGTGTATTTAATTACGGCAAAGCACACTAGGGCTGTCTACCAAAGGGAAGGGATGCCTTCGTGGAGGACTTTCTAAGGGAAACTGGCTCGTATACACGTTTACACATGGGGAAAACCACGAAAACACCCATGCAGCCAGCCCGTTCGCGGGATTCGAATCTTGGACCGAACTACCAGTGTTCAGCGACTTTACCGCTCGGCCGCTGGTGGGCCGCAATACTGAATGACAGGGGTTTGAATCCCGAAGAAGACATAGATGTTTGCAAATGTAAAGTGTCTGTGTGGCATGGGAGCATTCTAAATATGTGGCAGGTCTAAAGTCTCTCGAGAGGTTGGTGGTAGGGAAGACAGATAGGAGACCCACCGACCCATCCCCTCGGAGTGCTCGTCATCAAAATTGGGGGTGGAAACTGGGCAAAGTTATACTGTCAGCTGTATGATACCCAAAGCTCTTGGCAACCAGAGACACAATTTTAAATCCTAGCCATGAGGAATTTTGTGCATTTGCTCTGATTTCACAGACTTGATCTGATGTTACTGTTGATCAGGTAGAATAAGTCACAGCAACATATGAAACATAAAACATTAAAAAATTACCAAAATTTCCAGCGGCCTCATTTCCAATAAAAATAGAAACCTTAACATTTTAATATTTCTTACTGCAAACTACAGTCGTTAAGTTTATAAAATTAATTTAAAATTTCTCCTCTAAACATTCTGAAGAATATTAATACAATAATTCATTTTTCTAGTTAAAAAATTTCACATACCCTTTTTGGGACCATAGATCCAGGTTTCAACTTGCTCTATTATTTGTTGATTGATTATAGGTTCGAATTTTCGAGCAAAATAATATGGACGGTCTTCTGTGGCCTGTAAATAAATTGGCCTATATATATATATATGTAAATCTTCCTACTATCTATATAAATCATATATCTGTAAAAATCAATCATATGTCATATATATAATCATATATCTATACAAATCTCAATTGTAACAAAAATAATTTTTTTCAATACAGTACAAAGACCGAGATCCGGACTTCGGAAATTAAGGGTTTGGGATTTTTCAGATATTAGATCATCAGTTTAAATCTAGTAAGATGGCATGTAGAAATTATAAAATTAAAAATATGAAATCGTGATTATGAAATAATGAAGCATTTATATCTAAGGGTATCAAAATTTACAAAAAAAAAAAAAAAAAAAAAAAAAAAAACCATAATATTTATTTGTTTACCTTATTAAATATTTCTTTCAATGTTAAGTTGCTTCATTTTTTTGTGCTAACATTTTCCCTTTAATTCTATAGATAGACAACGTTTTGTTTAGTTATAAAGTTCCATTGTTCAGGTCCTATAATTGCTGTGTCAAGCACCCCAACTAAGATGTCAATCAAAATTTTTTTGTTTTCAATAATCTCTCTGCCACTTTCTTAATTATCGGTAGCGGTATTTTCTGGATCTAGAACTATACTACAGATTTTGCCATCCATTAACTGATTCATGATTGGGGTTTGTTTCATTGCAATAAAAAATTTCTGTTATATCATCTTATTTTATTACCGCTTCTCTACATTTCTTTAAGAAATCCATTAATTGCAAAACTTTACCTTTAGTTTGCGATATCCGAAAACCTGAAAATTTGCAGCTATCATCTTCATCATCCATGAAATACCATGTTAACTGGCGATAAATTATGCCGAACATTTTTTTAAGTATCTGGAGACACATCCACCTGCGGTCTTGCAATGCTTCACACAGCAGATTTTATGCAAAAATATTCTTGCCATTATTCAAGAAATTTAACATGGATTTTAAAAATGCTACTTTTTATTTTCATTTCAGTGCATGCACTATTCTGATATCCATAGGCTGAATGTTGGACATACAGTTTGGAGAAAAGAATACTATGGATACATTATCTTTCACTGAAACTTAGTGAGCCGAATAGTTATTATACATTCAGGGAAATTTTTGCATCATTAGGTACATTGACAGAATTCAAATTGTGCCGAGCCTTGGGCATGAGATGACTTTCAAGCCAATTATTCATTAATGCTTGTGTCATCCATGTTGTTTTATTTGCACGATATATATAATGAGGAAAATGTTAATTTCTTTAAATGCTTGAGGTCCTACATTTTTCCCGATTATGAAAAATTTACACTTTTGCGCTCCTACAGCATTTGCGCATGCTAAAATTGTTGGTCTTGCTTTGGAATCTTTGACAGCAATTAGAGCCTTTTCTATAGAGGTTGCCAAGGTGTTTTGCAGTACCAGTTTGTGGCCAGAATAGACCATTTTCATCAGGTTTTCAAAATTAATGAGTTAAAAGAATTCATCTGCAAAGAGTTCAGCAGCTTCAGTATAAACTGAAGCTTTTTCACCTGAAATTTTTAACTGCCTTTTACCTCAACGATTTTTAAATTTGTTAACCAACCTGACAAATATGTGCATTCATTTTTCAAGTTCATTTCTTCATTAAATATTTTGACTTCAGCCATTAGCATTGGATCCGTCAATGGCATGCCCTCACTGCAATGCTGTCTGAACAGAACATAACGAATAATATTTCAATTTAATTTATTAAATGTTTCCTGTTTTCATTACGAGTGAGATGTCGGAATCCCGCACAAAATTCAAAAAGTTACTTTTACTGTTTTCTTATGTCATATTCATTTGGTTATCCATATCACACTCCTCGAGATTTTGAGACCAATATACCTTTATCCATTTTTTGAAGTAGTTCCACTTTTTTTTTAATGAAAACTGAAACACGCTGTCACTTCATAGATCCTGTTGCAGTTCCAGAATTATTTCGGCATAATCGTAAACTTCAAACTTTAATTTTCATAAAAATGCTGTAATAATAAAAATCTGAAAAAAAAAAAAAAAAAAAAATCAGCTGGATCAATTCAGAAAGTTAAGAAACAGTGCAATCCGCTAAATTAGCTGATATTGCTTGTAATTAGTAAAATGTAATTTTAGCCTAGCTTGATAGTGTCCGCTTTACATTATTGGCTATGTATTATGAGATTGGCAGCGGAAGGCAAGTTGTTCAGCTAAATTTACTGCAGCGAGATAATTAAGCTTGAATTGTATTATTTTAGTTATTTATTATACTTAACATCTATTTCTTGCACATGCTTAAATATGCACATGGGGGTCCTAAATTCTGCTATCAAGTGCCTCCCTAAGTTCTAAATTTCGGGTTTCAGTGCTTTTGCTTAATTCTAAAAATTTTGTTGCTCGGTGCTTCTTTAAATTCCAAAAATTTTGTCTTTCCTAAATCCAGCAATCTGAGCTCTGGCACCAATTCTGAGTTTATGTGAAAACAAATCAGTTATTCTTAATTCAAATAGCATTACATGTAATCTTTTGGTTTATGAGTATCATGAATAAATCTATTTTTAGCATATGGAAAGATATTTTTGTTAAATTTTTCCTTGTCAACATTTCTTACAGCATTTACCTTTAATCTTTACCAAGTGTGATGTAAACATAAAAGGTTACCATACTCTTTGTTATTAAATTACTAATATAAAAAAAAAAAATGTTTAGGCATCGCTGCATGAGTCATTACTCAAGTTATCATATGCTGAAAAGCATGCTGTGATGGAAGCAAAATATTATAAATAATGATTCGCCAGGTTGGCACCAGGAATATAAAATAGTAGTGTAAAATCAACGATGTTTCTACATAGAATGTTTCAGTTTGAGATGTATGCCAAGAGCGAAGTTACCTATCACACAAATTTATGCTAAAATAATTGTTTCTTCAATAACAAGGTATTTTATTTAATGCCGAAGTGAAATTAAGAATCGTAACTCTCATGTTTTATTGTGGGAGGGAAAAAAAATCAAGTACGCATGCATAAAGCATACAAAAAAAATCTGATGTGCACCCCACATGACTTCCTTGCATGGATTATTAAATAAGACGCATTTTTTCTTGCATTTCATTTAAACTTATTGGATTGAATTAAATCTACTTTGCCAATAGTGCATAAACCACAATAGAATAAATGCACTCTTTAAAATTCACTATGTTTGTTTAGACACCATGGCACTAGGTTCACTTATCAGTGTTATATTTCGTTCATATTATAACTCAGAATGCACAAAATTTATATCGTTTGAAGAATTATCTAATTGTTGCCACATGTTCTATTCAATTGCTATAATAAATCTAGAATGTATTGCATTTTAAGATTAAATATGCTAAAACTGAAGAAGAATCTTACTAAACGTTTTTCTTATCCATGCTTTTAACGCAAGCTATATGACAAGGTCAATAACAAATCGTTCAACTGAGCTTCTCAAAGTAGAAGTTGAAGAACATTCTGAGATGTTACCAAACAAATATATAAAATAAAAAAAAAATTACAGTACCTTGTTTTTTCTTTTGTAACATAAATAACTTCAACACTTCCCCTTGGTTAAAAAAAAAAAAAAAAAAAAAAAAAAAAAAAAAAAAAACACTTTTAAATTAGAGTTCTAAATTAATCATAGTTCATACTAGTCCAATGTTTTCAGATAGCATCAAGAGTCTTGGCTCGTGCAAGGGTTTGGTGAACAAATCTGCAACTTGAACTTCTGTTGAAATCTGCTGCACATTGATTTTACCTTCCAGACGTACGAAAAAATGTTTTAGACTGTTAGACTGTTTTAGACTTCAAGTATGAAAAAATGTTTTAGATTTATACGCTTGGTCCTGCGATGAAGCTCAGGGTTCTGAGCTAGTCTTACTGCAGCACTGTTGTCTACATAGATGGCTGACACTTGTTTCAAGGAAGAAATACCAATAATCAGTCTAAGCCAAATGACCTCTTTTGCAGCTTCATTTGCTACAACTATCTCAGCTTCTGCAGTTGATGTTGCAACCATGGCTTGGCATTGGCTCAACCAAGATATTGCTTCACCTGCATACAAAAATATTACTCCACTAGTTGATCTGCCTGTTTGAATACATCCACCAAAGTCAGCATCACTAAAACATTCTAAAATTCCTGGTTTATAGCCTGATTTATAAAAAATGCATTTTTGGAGTTTGCAATGTATCTAAATACACGCTTAACCTTGATCCAGTCTTCTTTAGAGGGATTTTCTAAATTACGTGACAAAGCACTAATAGAGTATGCCAAGTCAGGTCTTGTCCCCATCATCAAATGCATCAATGCTCCCACAGCTTCACGGAAAGGGATATCTGTTTCATTAACGTCTGTGTAAACAAACTACTTTATCTTTCAAAATGGGTGTATGAACTGGTCTGTAGTCACTCATGCCAAAAAGCTGAAGGATCTTTGTGGCATATGCTTCTTGCCCTATCTTAATACTTCCATCTTCAAGAGGCTGTATTTCTAGTCCTAAGAAATATGAAGCTGGCTTGCTGGTGATTTTAAACTTTAACTTCAACTGGTCTATAAAGTTTCTGGAATCTTCTTCATCAGTAGCAGTGATCAGTCCATCATCCACGTACAGTGCTATGAGGAGCTTCTTACCGTTTTTTCTCGAATGAATAGGCATAGGTCTGCTTCACTGACCTTAAACCCAAGGTCCATCAGGAATTTTCTGAAACATTTATGCCAGCATCGAGGAGCTTGTTTTAGCTTATACAAGCTTTTCTTGAATCTGTATACTTTATTGGCACCACCGTTATATCCTTCAGGCTGATTCATATAGATTGTTTCCTCTAGATCACCATACAAGAAGGCAGTCGAAACATCAAATTGCATAAGATGCATATTCTCACTAGCTGCAATGCTTATGAGTGAACGCACAGTTCCTAGCTTTGTGACTGGAATGAAGGTCTGATCATAATCAATACCTTGTCTCTGACTGAAGCCCTTAATCACAAGTCTTGCTTTGT